AGCTACTTGGGAGGCAGAGGCAGGAGACTCGCTTGAGCCCAGGAGTTGGAGGTTGCTGTGAACTGTAATGCCACGGCACTCTGCCCAGGGGGATAGCTTGAGGCCCTATCTCAAAAAAAAAAAAAGAAAAGAAACACTGTCACTGCAGTCTTTGTGTAGACAGATCACTGCAGCCAGGGGGAGTGAATGGGTTCGAGGTGGTCTGGGGGCCAAGAGGAAGAATTGGGTTTGGGAAGCCTTGGGGGAGCAGGCTGTAGAAGGCTGGCCAGCTGGTGCATGGGGGTCACACCTGTTCAGGGTGCTGCCCCTGTGCTCAGGAATATGGAGAGAGCAGGATTTGGGGGAGAGTTGAGAGCATGTGGAAGAAAGAGCTTCCTCGTGGGCTAGATCTGGAAGCGAGGTGTGGGGGTCATTTCTGGATAAGGGTATAGTTGATGGTGTGGAATGCAAGGTGATTTTGTAGGAGAGGAGTCCTCAGAGGAGCGAAGGCAGTTGATGTAGGAAGCCAGCAATCACAAAAATGCTGGCCAGGCATGGCAGCTCACACCTGTAATCCCAGCCAGCAGTTCGAGACCAGCCTGAGCAGGAGCAAGACTCGGTCTCTACTAAAAGTAGAAAAAAACTGAGGCAAGAGGATCACTTGAGCCCAAGCTTTTGAGGTTGCTGTGAGCTGTGACATCATGGCACTCTACCCAGGGTGACAGACTGAGACTCTGTCTCAGAAAAAAAAATGCTACAGAAACAAGGGGAGATATATCCAAAAGGAAAGCACCGTGCCAGCAGGAGGCCAGAGGGAGGCCCTTCAGTTGGTAGAGGCCACCTCCTGGGTGCTGGTGGTATGGGGCACAGAGAGCATGTGAGGTCAGGCCGTGGGACATGTGCACATGTCCTCAGAGGGCAGATCCTGTTTCACACAGAGGGCGCCTGCCTTCTCTTCCAGAGCCCAATGATGAAAGTGGAGCTAACGTGGATGCTTCCAAGATGTGGCGGGACGACCGGGAGCAGTTCTACAAGATTGCCAAGCAGATTGTACAGAAGTCTTTGGGACTTTAAGGCCTTGCCTCACACATGCACACTGACGTGTGAACACACCACCCACAGTCCCAGTGTTCTGGGAATGCTCAGTGACAGTGGTGCTCTGTGCTGGCACCAAACAGGCAAACTTGCAAGAACTACAGCATCTTTTTTTTTTTTTTCGGTAATTTTCTCACCCTGAATGGGCTCTCTTCTGAAATTATGGTTTGTTATAGCATATTGACAGCTTACTGCAGTTTTGAAGTGTTCCTCGAAAGGTGGTTCAGCTAGATTGCTAAAGCTGTCATCACTACCTCTCCCAGCTGAAACGCCGACACGCCCAGCTGTTCCCAGCTCCCTTCGATGCCCTTCCTTCCTAGGGTTGAGGGGCTGGCTGTACACCCACACATCCAGGGCATGACAGAATCCCAGCAGTGCTTTTCTAGAGACACGTGCCCTGCAGCCAAGGTGCACACAGGACAGGGCAGTGACGCTCCTGTGGTCCCTCCTCATGCTCTCTGCACCCATAGGACTTTTATCAATTCCTTTCTGATCTTTACGTTTTACAAGCAGATGTTTTTCTCATAGTTAACATCTTCTACATTTTTGAGTATTATGAACCATCACACTTAGAAATACTTTCAGGAAATACTTTTTTAAAATGTGGATTAATTGGAAATGGGGTACACAGAAAAATTCACTGCTGCTCATAAGGACCATAAGACTGATGTTTTTTTCCTGATCATATTTATCAAAGATTCACATCTTTATATCACTATGGCAGGTACAGGTGAGATCCTTAAAGTTTTAGTCAAAGTTTCTTAATCTATAGTTTTTCTTTTCTACTCTAAAAACTAGGAAGCTCTAGGATTTTGTAACACTGTGGTTGCACTGGGAATTTGATGATTGGCACAAAAATCATTCTTTGGGACTCATGGTCAGAGGGGCTCTACCATTTCTCAGCTCAGAGGAGTGCCTTACCCCCGACCGGTGCTCGTGGAGGTGGGCCCGTGGGGCTCCTGGGCCCAGGTGCAGGTGGCACATTTCTGTGATTTGATTGGGTTCTGATGTTCTCTACCATGGTCAACTGAGCAGCACGGTGCCAGGAGGTCACATTATAAGCAATAACAGATCTGTTGCATGCAGAATCAGATATTTGGCCTGTTTCAAACAGGTTAAATTTAAATAGGAATTTCTATTTTTGAAATAAGGGATGGTTTATGAGGCATACACCAGATTTTGCTTTACTGTCCCTTTTCCCTTCTCTTTCACAGTGGATCCAGTGGACAGTTGTCTGTGTGACTGAAACCTCACACATAATGTCATGGTGTTGACAGTTTCTGGTTGAAGCAGTTCCATGTCCAGCTTCTGTATGTGCCGGGTTCTTTCCTTCTCAGAAGGGAATCATTTAAAATGTGAAATGCCAAACAAGCAGGTGTACTTGGATGGGGTGAGGAAGGAGAGGTCTTGTACCTAAGTCGTGTTTGCAGGTTTGGGAGTTGTGGTCCTCCACAGAGTGAAGGGAAGTGGTTGTGTGAGCAGGTGGGGCGTGGGCATGGAGCCCCACCAGCAGGTAGGCCCCGGAGGGGAGGAAGAGGAGGCAGTCTCTTTACAAAACAAAGTATTTTTATTCATTTGTATTTATTAAATGAAAATCCCATGGTGTCCCTATTCTGTGGTGGAATTTAATTACTATGTTAAAAATAAAATTATATATTTTCCCCCTATTCTGCAGTGTATTTTTCTCTGTTGTATTTTTATGTAATCAGATAGAAGCCAGGGCAGGGCAGCCCACTGGGGAGCAGGCCAGAGGCCCAGCAGGTGGGCCATCCTCCAGAGAGCAGGCAGCCCTGCATGACCATCTGGGACTATGCTCCAGCTCCAGGATTCCTGACCAAGAAGTTTATTCTGGAGCTCAGATCAGCTCTGCAGAGTTTTATTCTCTTGTTTCTTGTTTCCTTTCCTTCATTCTGTTGTTCTGAACCCTCAAGTCTGCAGCAGAACTCAGAACTGTGAACTTCGTGCAAACGTATGTGCTTACTGACCTGAGCCTAAAGTTTGGCCTTTTTTTCAACAGATACCATCATAGGACTCCTTACCAGTAGAAACCAGCAGGCTGTTCAGATCATACTTCGGTTCTGTGATGCCTCAAAACATGTCATATTCCCATCACTGCTCTGACGTTAACGGCTGCTAATTGCACCTGCCTCTAAATCTTTTTATTTAGTGTGTTACTGACAAGGCTGGTTCCCCATTCGCTATTTGTGGTTACTGTTCGGTGCTTACAGCTGGCTTTCCTTTGCCATCCTGCATCAGTCTATATTCATTTAAAGATATTCTTCTGAGATGGGCTTCCGGCTCACAGTGGCCTTGCTGGTGCCTCCTTCCTGGACTCCACACCCCCCACCCCTCCCCTTAAGCTCCTGGGCTCTCCTGGCCCTGTGTTCTGGGTGATTGCCTTAGTTCTGCCCTCTAGCATCAGTTCTGCCTTCTGTACAGTGTTTTCTGTACCCACCATACTTTGTAATATCCAAGAATAATGTGCTACTGAGTTGGGGTCCCACCCCAGGGCCAGTGATTTGCCAGGACCCCTTACAGGACAGCCGTGGTCCCTATGGCTACAATTTCCCACAGCAAAAGGACAGAGCAGAATGCAGGGGGCTGAGTCCAGGGGAAACCCAGTCAGGCTTCCAGAGCCCTGGGAGGTGGGGGCGGCTCACAGGACATGTCTGACCCCCAGCACATGGCGATAATGGCATGGGTGGTGGCGCGTCCACTAGGGAGCTCGTCAGAGACATAGTAGCCAGGGTTGTACTGGGGTGGTCACATAGGCATCTTCTGCCTGATGTGCCAAGATTCCAGATTCCTGGGGGGTGCAGGTACTCAGAATAAACTATGCAGTTTGCACAGACAGCTTAGGCCCAGTGAGGCAGAGTGTCTGGAGCTCTCCCCAAATCCAGGTTTCCAGATACCAGCCGAGGGCCAGCCTGCCGGGTGGACTCTACTGCAGATTAATTATCTGCATTTTTGTTCTTCGGGAGTTTTAATTAGATTTACTTTAAACATTTAGTTTGGTTTTGTATTTTGGGGTGCCAAAACCTGTTGGCGCTGGTTTTCTGCGGTTTGTAGTATTGGACAGCCATTCTCCTACTTGTCTGTCTGCTTCCTGGGATAGGGGTTGGTAGAGCAGCTGGGCCGCTCTAGGGTCTTTGCATCCCCTGGGGCTTGAGTGGGACCTGGCCCCAGCCTGTGGTCCCACTCCCTGGACTCTTGCACATGCTGGGGCTCCTTCCATTATGTAGATGTCACTGGTTCTGCAGAGGTGAGTACTGGTCTGTATCAGCTCTTCAGGGAACACAGAGGCTGCTCTTGCTGTGCAGAACTAATGCCTCTCCCCTGCAGCCTGGAGCAGACAAAGTGCCCATGGGCCCCATGTTGGAGGTGGGACCCCCCAGGATGCCACCCAGTTTGGGGAGGGCACAGGTAGAGGGATCTGGGGCTGCCCAGAAGAGTGGCACCCATTGTGGGCCTGGTGGGTTCTGGAAACTTTGCCTAGCAGGGAAGGCAGAGGGGATAGCACCAGGGTGAGGTGGGGGCTGATCCTGTGGGGTTGTCCCACAGGTCTGGTGACTCATGCAGGATGGGGGTTCCTCTCAGTGGAGGGAATGGTATTGGGAGATTCTGCCTCTCAGATCCCTCTTCTAGGCTGGGTCCCCACTATCCTATCCCCACAGGGCCTGGCTTTGTCCAGGGGACAAAACAACATACATCTCCCTATGGGATCAGGAAAGGTCTGCTTTAACCCTGCTGGCCCAACTTGGCCTAGCTTGCCCAGCCAGCCATAACCCAGGCCCTGGTAGTGTCTCCCCACCCCCTACACCACCCACTGTCCTGGGGCCCTCCCTATCCTGGCACCCACTGTCACCACTGGCCCATGTTCTTGAGAAGAACTATTGGTGCAGGTCACCCTATTCCCCCGTCTCCCCACCACCACCAGGCTATTTCCTGCCCCTGGGTGCTCAGGATATGCCTTACCAAGGTCCTGGATGGCTGTCTACCACCACCAGGCACCTTCACCTTGCCCAGCTCCTAACCTGCTGGACCAGAAGCAGCCTCCAGGGCCCAGGCCTGGACGAACTTTGCTGGCTGAGGGGTGCAGGACTTCCCTCCTGATGGGCCACACAGACTGCTCACCCAGACAGCCCAGGCCCCTTCTGGGGGGAAAGTTGAGGCCAGGGAGGTGAAGTCACTTAAAATGGGGGCTTAAGTGCAGCACTGAACCTCAAAGACCCCCTACCCTTGGCAGCGGTCCCATTCCCCCCTCAGGCATGGTGGGTGGGCTCAGCTCCACTTGGCTGCGGGAGCCCCACCTGCACCCTGGCCTGTGCTATTCTCTGTCGCATTGGTCTGTCTTGTCCATGTGCTTCTGTATCCCTGTGTGCCTGCTTACCTTTGTTTCCTGGGAATTTGAAAATTTACACATGAAAAGTAATTTGACGGCTCGGCGCCTATAGTTCAACCGGCTAAGGCGCCAGCCACGTACACCTAAGGTGGCGGGTTCGAATCCCCAGCCCGGACCTGCCAAACAACAATGA